TGGCCAAGCGAGTGGGGTATGGGTTTATTTGATTGAACGTCATTTCCAATGTATATATTGATACATTCAAACCATTGGCATTTGAAATAAGACCACAGAGAACAGACGTTCAAGTTCGGTCAGAAACTTGTGTAAAATAAGTGGGAACGTCGCCGTTACGTGGTGTTAGCATCTCCTGATTTTCTCTATAAATTTTCCACTTTCGACCAATTTGGCTCTAGTATCGATAAATTTTCTGTTGAAAATTGCCACTTGGCGCTACTAAAGGGCGAACACGAAATTATTGCGACACCGAAAATGTCATGCCAATTTTCTTATAATGTTTAGAATCAAACCAAAATTTTAGGGTAGTTTTATTTATATATTTACTACAAAAATCAAAAGAAAAGTTAATCGATGGAGCCTTGAGTGTAAAATTGAACGCATTTTCGCTTGATGCCCTCCATCACAGTCTTTACAGTGTCATCCGGTACCAGTTTCTCAGTTTTTTTTTTTCCATTTTCTTAACATGTCCTTCTCGTTTTTGACTGTCTTCTTGCTCTTCCGAAGTTCCCGCTTCATTATTGCCCAGTACTGCTCCACCGGGCGCAGCTCCGGACAGTTTGGCGGATTCATGTCCTTTGGAACAAAATGGACATAATTGGCCTCATACCACTCCAGGACACTTTTAGAATAGTGGCATTATGAGAAATCTGGCCAAAATAGCGGAGCTTCGTCGTGCTGCTGCAAGAACGGCAAAAGGCGCTTCTCGAGGCACTCAGATTTGTAGATCTCGCCATTTACTGTGCCCTTTGTCACGAAAGGCTCACTCCTCAGTCCGCAAGAGCAGATGGCCTGCCAAATGAGATATTTGGAGGCGAACTTCGACATTTTCTTCTTCTTAAATTTGTCGTCCACATCGAACTTGCTCTTGCCGGTGAAAAACTCCAACCCCGGAATTTGCTTAAAATCGGCTTTTATATACGTTTCGTCGTCCATCACACAGCAGCCATATTTTGTCAGCATCTTCTCGTAGAGCTTCCGTGCCCGAGTTTTAGCCGTCGATTGTTGCCGCTCATCGCGGTTTGGGAAGTTCTGTACCTTGTATGTATGTAGTCCAGCTCTCTTCTTTGCATTCTGGACGTAGCTCTGCGACATGCCGATCTTTTTAGCCAAATCACGGCTTGAGACGTTGGGATTTGCTTTAATCATCCGCTTCACCTTTCCCTCCGTCTTTTTGTTCTCCGGTCCCGGTTTTCTTCCAGCTCCTTTGCCGTCGTCAAACGTCAACCGCTCCTGGAACCGCTTCAACACTCTGGAGACGGTTGAATGGTGAATGTTCAACATTTTTCCCAATTGCCGGTGCGACAGGTCAGGAAATTCCAGGTGTTTGGAAAGAATTTGTTCTCTCAACTCGCGTTGGTTCACCTCCATTTTCGTTGAATCGAAAAACACGACTTCGAGTTTGACAGCATGTACACAATACACATCAATGAGAAAGTGTGCAAAATTTGGTTGATTTTTACCCAATGGTAAAAAAGTTATGCCTTGTTGAATGTGTCGCAATAATTTCGTGTTCGCCCTTTAGCACTTAGTGTCTAGTGTAATTTGTGCAACACCAGCGTCATCATGTTGTCAAAGAGGGTTTTTAAGTGGGGATGTCGCTGTTAGTGGCGCTTAAGTCGAAAAGGAATCTTTACACAAGTTATTAGAGAAATTTTATTCGAGCCTCCATGTCTGTTCTCTGTGATAAGACAGAGATAGGATGCGGAGGGCCCGCTTAGAAGGAGCGTAACCCATGTTATGGTTTCCATTTATTAAATAGTTCAGATAGGCTAGAAATGACAGGTTTATAGTGAGAGAATGTACCATATTGGGAAAGCATAATTGTGTAAAGATTCCTATTCGACTTAAGCGCCACTAACGGCGACTTCCCCACTTTAAAACCCTCTTTGACAACATGATGGCGCTGGCGTTGCAAAACTTACATTAGACACTAAGTGCTGGTTGCGCCAAGTGGCAATTTTCAGCACATAATTTATCGATACTAGCGCCAAATTGGTCGAAAGTGATAAATTTATAGAGGAAATTAGGAGATGCTAGCGCTAGACTTGGACGTTTGGTCTCTGTGAGATAGCTTAATGCAATTAAATAGAAATGCCAAAATCTTACCGAGTAGTCTAGCTGTTCTGATTTCGGTACAGTTTGTTGAGGTCGGGTATAGTGTCTGAGTATGGATGCCCATTTTGAAATAACTCATATTAGCACAGAGTAATAGTTTTAATGCTTGCGAACTTTATTTTGGGATCGTCTTTTCTTCAAACAATTCTGATTATGCATGCTATTTTAATCATGATCAGTCTTAGAAAATGTTATCTGTTTAAGCCCCGTTCTAGATTTGTTTGTTATTCATATCTTATGCATTGCAGCTCGCGAGAGGTTACCAAATATGGGTTCTTTTTCTCATCCACAATAGTTTGGGGGGAGGGGCGATCTGAGAGCTGAATAGAGGCAAATCAAATAGGGAACACAACACCATAACCCAAACGACTAACCAACGCATGCGGCTCACATTTAACTTGTTCTATTTATTTCTTCCCCTCATGTACCAATATTACCTACCTGAGAACAAATGGAAACACGGCCAGATTTTCAATAGAAAGAAGGAAAAAAAGCGAGAAAACGTAAGAGAGTAAGCAGTCAGGAAGCATTAGGCCATTTGGAAACAGCCAATTTATACTGGACGGAACTGGTAAGTAGGATAAGAATTGTAAAAGGTGTGTGCTTGCATGATTTACCTATTTTAGAATTACCTATAAGCCACATGAGAACCTCATTTCCTTTAATTACTACTCCATTGCAACACACACCTAATAATGAACATTCATATAGTTTCAGCATTATCGACATTTATAATCAAAAGGTGAGTTATAAAGTATAATTACCATGCATAGATATAAGTTAATGTACCAGAAACTGGACGGACACGAGCCTACCCAGGGGAGGACTCGGATACGACAACCCATGTGTGTCTAGAGTATCGCACGAGCTGACGAGTGCAACGGGAAGGACAGTAGGTGTATAGACTAGGGGGTTAGTCCCTAGATAAGCCAACTTAGCGATTGGCACAGCCTATACACTAATTACAAATAACAATCGTCCATACTTTTATTAGAGTGCTTTAGGGAAAACTTGCCATGAGAATGCCTGTACGGTCAGCAGGTTTTTCTTCATGGAAAATATCAACATTATTAGCTTAGATTGGATTAGATTTCTTTATTAGAGACTTTCAGGTTTTAATTGTTCGTGAAGTACGCAATTATTCCAAGTTCCAATTTATCGACCTTCAATTTGATTTGGTATACATTTTTTTCCTTTCTTCAGCACCTTGGTACACGCCATGTCTGAAAAATAACAGATTTATCAACTTTTATGTAGGGTTAATGTCCCTAATGTCAGCCTATGTGTCCGTAATATTGGGCCCAAACATAAATTTCGAAAGAAAGCTTTTTTAGACGTCAATAGCAATCAAAAATATCCATTTGTATTGTCCAGATGACGCATTGTTTCAAGAAAAAGCGCGCTGCATCTAAATAGAAACGGGTAAGTATGACAGTTACCATATCTGAGAGTTAATTATTTGTTTTTTTTTTTCAATCATGAAAAAAAAAACATCTCGTTGCTGGACATCTCGACTAACATTTAAAAATGATATAAATTGTTGAAAAATGTTATTAAAGTCTTGAACGCGTAAAAATTGGTCAACTTCAAATTGGTGTATTTCCGTTAAAAATGCATAAAAAAAAAAACTGAAATGCTGCATTTGGAAGTTGAGTGTATAAACAATGGTTGCTATTATGAGTTTTCACCGTTTGCTCTCCATTTTTAAGTTTTTGAGCGTTTGTTGATGAATATATTGCAGTTTTTCATTGTTTTCAAATTTTGTTGATGTCCACCGTAGTGAACATAGTTAGTTTTAATAACGAATTTGCTGTATTTTAAACAGGCTTTGTCCACCTTCTTTGATGTGTTACTTGATTTCAAAATTATTAAATTGTTAATACAATTTAAGGCAAGTTATCAATACATGTGGTCCCACTTAACGTAAATACGGAGAAAAAGTTGAATAATCAACCACTTCCCACATTGCAAGCCCATTTATAATATTGTCACATTTTCCCAATTTTTTTAACTGCCTTTGTTTTTGGGACTGAAAACAGGTTAAATCATACCACAAGATTTTACATTTGATGTACACAATTTAGAGCGAGATTTGATCAAAACTGTTGATTTTTCCGGTCCCACTTCCCCGAGATCCCGTTGCCTTAAAAAGATAGGGGAAATGGCTCTAATGTTGGCCTATGGATCTAAGATAGGACACATCGCTGAAAATCTGCTATTTTTAAATTTTATCTAGATGAACGCGTCATTGGGTTGGTACCAATGGATATTTTTGTTGTTGTTGAAAATTTAGTCGATTGCTGAATTTATGTATGGGTCTACATTAGGGGCATTTAGACAGACATTACATCAATTTCCCCTACTTCATGTTAATATTTCTATCGATTGATTAGGGGAAATGTCGGCTTCGGGAATACCTTAACCTATTATCGACGGCTTCGGCAATACCTTATTATATTATCTTCAGGGGGTAAACAAACTCTTAGAGCACTCAACTTTGGTCAATGGATGCTCTGAAACACAATGTATCCACATGCCAAAATTGAGCTCTCAAGAATTTTGTTTACCCCCTGACGATATAGAAATAGGGATTTCCGAAGCAGACATTTACCCTAAGTTAATTTAATCTTTCTGATTTCTCTAACTACATCAGCCAGTAATACAATACGTGGTGTCGCTCATCACACAAAGAAAGGAGACAAAAAAGCGATGCTAGTCTCTAGTATCCGTTAGTTAAATGTTTTGGCAAATAAATTATACAATGGTGATAGAGGGAGGATGACAGGGAATCTCTCTGGACTATTTGCTCTGCTAACTTATCAGAGGGAGAAAAAACTTACCCTTCGTTTGCTTTTGATGTTCTCCAGCTGCCTTTGTGTACACTCACCGATGCTTTTCGATCCCCACAACTCCAACCCCACTCGAGCATACGTAAAGGACATTGATCCGATTGGTAAGAAATACGTCAAAAACATGAAAATTACGTTATATCTGCAGGCGTGAAAGGGAAGAATAGACATTGTATTATAGAAAACCCGATAAAATTAGCCCAAGGGTGACATCAATCACAGATGTGAAAACGTTACAGGCAACGTCTGAGTAGAGGATCGATACTACTTACAAGTATTCCTGCAAAGAATGGTTTGAGGGACCGTCTGGCCATTCTGCGTAACAGACTACCCGTTCTTGTAGATCATAGGTTGTAAAAAATAACAACATAGGACTGGAGATAATGATGCTTACTATCCAGATGGCAGCTGCTATGCATAGAGTGGCCCTTCTCCCCATCCGAGGCCTCAAGGGGTTCATTATGGCCATATATCTAGCAACGAGAATGAAGAGTAAATATATTATTAGAGTTATTACGGTAGTAAAAAAAACTGGAATATTGGAAATGTGGTAAATATTCATAAATATTCTGGAAAAGGTAGCATTAATGCCACAATGAAAAAAAAAAAAACTAGTTGGGGGTGACCCCGGCGTAGTGCATAACTCCATAACTCTCACGCCAAAGTTACGACTTCAAATCTTATCCCCGGACAAGTCACGAATGACCAAAGAGCGTTAAAGTGACTATATAAAAAAAAGTATTCTAGTAGTAGTCGCATAACTGTCCCATATTAATAAGAAATAATTATCGACAGAACTCTCCCAATTTTTGTAATTTTGTCAAGGGGTATAATATATTTGCATTAAGAAGGTTAAACACTGTTGCGATTAATGCAGCGTTTTCACAATTTTTAATTTTAATAATATTTTTGGAAAAAAACTTTTTTTTATCCTTGATTTGTTTTCCTTCGTTCATGTTTACTAAGTACCGATGCACAGTGGTCCAGAATGTAGATTTAGGTGGAATGATATGTTTTGAGCCTGAAATTGAAACTTTAGACTAAAAGTCTCTTCTACAAAGTTGTTCCTTATAGTTAGGCCCTCATTTTTATGACAATGACTTCTAGGGTGGCTCTTATTATCATTTAAATAAAAAATCTAACTTTTTTGTTTGAAGAAATTAAGGTATACGTTCTTCGGCAAAGTTATAGCGAAGCTAATTTCAAGCAACTAAGTTTGAAAAAAAACTTGTTTGTTAAGAGATACAATTTAGAGCTATTTTCTTGAATTTAGTTAGGGTGTCTTTAAAAAAAAAAACAATTGTTTTGCTCTAGTTTTCTTATTTCAAGTTTCTCAGCAAACGTGTCTTAAAATAACTTCTAGATCTTTATAAAGCGCAAATTTTTGCTGCACAAAGCTTGACAATGTTTTTTGCTGATCAAGAGTTATTGACGTTTTTCTACTTAAAATATGCCCTTTTCAAATGTTAATATCTCTGGTTGGGGCAAACAAAATATGCTATTACAATTTATTACAAATTATGCTGTATAAGGTATTTTTTTAACTCGTATATGGGGTACATCTTTTTTATTAGAAGAGATACAAACAACAAATTTCGCTATAAAACATTCGTCTTAAAGAGTTTTAAAAGTCTCTGGACTCTGAATTTCATGAGAAATTTGAAATAAAAAAGTTAATTTTAAAAAAGCTATTTTTTTCCAAACACCCTAAGTTAATTTCTTAATACACCCTAAGTTAATTTCCCTAACACCCTAAGTTAATTTCTTAATACAAAAAAAATTGGATTTTTGATTTTAATGATAATAAGAACCACCCTAGAACTAATCATTATAAAAATGAGGTCTAAAGTTTCAATTTCGTACTCAAAACATATCATTCCACCTAAATCTGCATTCTGGACCACTGTGCAATGCTACCGACGCCAGAGAGACAGCTCCCACACCTGGACCATACCTATCGACCCATCAACTCATGGACCGGGGACCAACGGCTTTACTTCCCTTGCCTCAGAAAATATTGACCGTGCCGCCTGGGATTCAACCCAGGCCCTTTGGAGTGAGAAACAGCCAAGCTTACAACTGCACCACCGGTGCCGCTGAAAAAATACTTTTCTGATAATTAATTTTTCAAATTACCCTCGGCTCGGCACGAAAGAGACCTTGCTTGACCTCTAGCTTGCGGAATATAAAAATGTGAATCGCTACGCCATCCTTGCGGTCAAAACTTGAACTATTTTTTTCCACAACATTGTACTCCCAACTAATCCAAGAACCTTTGCTGAAGACGTCAACTCATTTGGATGCAATCGCAGAGCATTATTATTTTATCCCTGCTAGATTTCATTCCTGGCCCACCATGCCGTGTATTGCTTCATTTTTCCCATTCAGCATGTAAGGGACGACGGGGTAAGATGGCCACCTTTTAGATAATTGAAATTCTCAACTCTTGAAAACAATTAACGATGCAGAGTTCTTTGCTATATGATATGATATGAGTAGATCCTACTGAAATTTGAATTGTTCAGAAATAGCGTGCATTCAATCCTGCCATCAAAAAAATATCACGACAAATGAAACTAACTCATATATGAATACCGTTCACTCAAATTCACAAAAGCGTAGGTAACTCGTAAAATAAGTAATTATTTATCAAATATGAGTAAATGCCTCTCATATTTGAGAAGTACAGTCGACGTTTTTTCTCTCGCTCTATTCGTTCGTTCGATTGCGTTGTTCAGTTTTTTCTCGTGTTGAATAGAGAAGCTCTCGCTGACCCAGCCAATCCCGGGAAACGGTCTAGGCTTGAAGACAACAGTGACAGTCCGACAGCTGCGAAGAAGCTGCTGGACAACAATCGGTTCTTCGTTCTGAAGGATGGTGCAGAGCCGGTGATGGAAACACCAGGACCGCCGAAGAAGGATAGAATGCCGCCCTTGCCGGACTGTGGGAAAAAATAAACTTTTACATCACGCAGGGTGTCCGGTGCATCATCCAGCTGTGCACGGAAGGATACAAACTGATGGCTCCGGTGTTGAAATATTATAGGGCGGTACAGACCATACTGGCCCAAACATAGGTGGAGTACTTCTCCCACGACATCGAGGCTGTTAAGCCGTTCAAGGTGGTCCTGCGAGGACTATATGACAAGACACAGGCGTCCTCTTGGAAGAGCCGGTGGCTAATCTGAAGCCGGTCCAAATTCACAAGATGGCCCGCCACAACAAGACCGTCAAGTACCGCGACCAGCTATACCTGGTTCACCTTGAGAAGATCTCAACAATTTTGATGGACCTCCAGGACATCCGCGTCCTGTTCAACATAGTGGTGAAGTGGGATCGGTACAAACCGGTCAGTCGTGGAGTCACCCAATGCTCAAACTGCCTGCTGTTCGGGCATGGAACGAAGAATTGCCATATGGGCAGCCGCTGCATCAAGTGTGGCAAACAACACAAAACCGACGCCTGCGTCAGACTCGATGAAGCCGATCCCAGTTGCGCCAACTGTGGTGCTGCTCACAAGGCCTGCCCGAAGCGCGCCGAGTACATCGAGATCCGGAAGAAAGCATCGACGAGAAACCAGCCCGGCCGCAAGAAGGTGCCAGAAATGAATGATCAGAACTTCCCACCGGTTCCACGACGATCGATTCCAATGTTGCCACCGCTGCCACCTCTAGCAGCACACTTGTCACTGAACAATTGTGGTTACTTGTTTGTAACTTATTTCAGTAACAATCAAGTTGCAGCAACTTATTTTGATGGATGTGTGCTGCTTGAGAATCTTCCTCAACGAACATAGCATCGACATCGCTATCATCACCGAAACTCGCCTGAAACCGGAGATGAACATGAGGCTGGATCGGATAAGCTCTGGGGGTGGTTGAGTGGCCATCGCTACCAGGAACAACATCTTCTGCCGGCTGCTACCGTGTTTCCAGCTGAAAATGGTTGAAGCATTGGGAGTGGAAATCTTCACACCCGTCGGCCCCGTCTCCATCATTGCGGCCTACTGCTTGAAACAAGCAAACGCCAGGGATGAATCCGTGGCAGACCAGCGGAAAATTCATCATCGCTGGCGACCTGAACGCCAAACATCAAGCTTGGGGCAACCAAAGGCGGAATCGAAACGGCACCATCCTGAACGAAGATTTGCAAAAGGTTCACTACACCATCCTGGCGGTGGACACTCCCACCCGGCTGAGACGGTCCAGCGTGCACTCCATCATCGACATCTTGGTCAGCAACATGGGAAACAACATCTCGCAACCTGTGACCCACCAGGAGCTGAGTTCGGACCACTTTCCGGTGATGACCGAAGTGGGCTCATTCGTCAACCGATTCCAAGCTTCCCGAAGCAACTATCATCGTGACAGCTGGGATCAGTTTCAACACTGTGTCGACTCCACTGTCAACTACGGTGTCCTTGCGGAGACGCCCAAAGACGTGGACCGGTGTCTATATTCCATCGAGGAGGCGATATCCCGGGCCAGGGGACAACACGTGCCAGCATCCAGGCAGGTGAGCAATACTTTGAACCTTGACAGATCTACCAAAGACCTTATGAGACTCCGTAACACCATCCGAAGGCAGTACTAACGCTCTGGTCTGCCTGCCCTTAAGACCCACTGTAATCTTCCAACAAAAACCATCCAAGCCACGATGGTGGATCTCAGGACTTTGCTAACAGGATCCGCTCTCTCACAGATTGTGCAAAGCTCTTTTGGAAACTAACCAAAATTCTTAAAAATAAGCCAAGACACATTCCACCACTGATCCCACTGGATCGTTACGGCGACCCAGTGGTTCATCTGATAACTCCTGAAGAGAAGGCAGCCGCGATAGGTCAACACTTCGTCAGCTCCCATAATCTCGGACAAAACATCGTCACCCCTTACGAAGCTGAGGTTGCTGAAAACGCAACCAACCTCCATCAGATTCCCAATATTTTTTCCGAGGAATCCGAGATTATGGCTGACAAACTGTTGGTCTGTATCAAATCATCTAAAAACATGAAGGCCCCAGGTTTTGACAGCATCCTGAATCTGGAACTCAAACTCTTGAGTTCCAGATTCTACAACGATCTGGCACTGATTTTTAATCTGTGCCTCCGACTTGGCTACTTCCCCTCGTGCTGGAAGTCAGCTAAATTCATATCCACCCGGAAACCTCGGAAGGATCCACCCTCTCCATCAAGTTATCGACCAATCAGCCTTCTCTCAGGGTTATCAAAACTGTTAGAAAGAGCAGTCTACCACCGGCTCCTAACATCTGCCGAAGAAAACAACTTGTTAATCGAGGAACAGTAAGGTTCCGAAAGGTCGTTCGACCGTCCACCAGCTGACTCGAATAACAAACTTTCTCAGACGGATCAAGCCTGTTTCGAAAACATCTGCCATGGCGTTGCTGAACGTTGAAAAAGCGTTCGACAATGTCTGGCATGATGGTCTGGTGTTCAAATTACAGCACTACGATCTTCC